CCATCTCTCCAGTAAAGTTGTGACTAGACTGTGGTCAACTTTTAGATGTCTTAATCTTGCCACTCCCCCAAAGTCAACTTCCTCTAGTATTGAAACAACTAGAGGGTGTGGCTTGGACATTGAGTGACAATATGAAGACACAATACTATTTTCAGGTCGTACAATAATAGAGAATTTAGGTAAATATGGTCAAATATAATTAATGTAATTAGTGAATAAAGAAGAACATATAAACAATATGAACATGAGAATATTACCATTGTTCTTATGGAAGCATACCTATGCTCAGCTTGTTTCCATAGCAACATTATCGATGATTATAATATCTTTTTTTTCAAATACACAAAATACAATTAAAGTTAGTAATATTTCTCTGAAAGCGTTACAAACAAGAAGTTGCAAATGACACTATATATAGAGGTAAGTGTGTATGCCTTACGAGTTGATCTTGGTCGTTGATTTTTGCTTTCACCTAGGGCAATGTGTGTCAGGACGTAGTATAGAAGAATCTTATCATGAACAATAAATTTTGTTATTGTTGCTTTTTACAGTCACCTAGGTCAATGTGTGTCAGTGTGTGGTACAGAGAAATTTTATCATGAACAATAACTTTTGTGTTGTGACTTGGATCGTAGGATGAACTGGAATTGATCTTGGTCATTGATGTCTGGAGATTTGATTTTAGTCGTTACTTTTTACTGTTACTTAGGACAGTGTGTGTTAGGGCATGATACAGAGAAATCTTATGATGAAAAGTAGCCTCTGTGTTGTGACTTGGACCATAGGATGAGGTGAATTTGATCTTGGTCATTGATGTATGGAGATTTGATCTTGGTCATTGCTTTTTACTGTCACCCAGTGCAGTGTGTGTTACGACGTGATACAGAAGAATCTTATCATGAACAATGACCTCTGTGTTGTGACTTAGACTGTAGGATGAGGTGGAGTTAATCTTAGTCGTTGCCTTTTACTATCACCCTACTACTAGTTGTTGCACAAGACATAATGAACACCATACTCCCCATTGCTTTTGCGATTGTTAAAGGTGAAACTGCATATGCTTGTTATTATTTTTCTTAAAAAACCCTAAGGAGGTATGTCACGCCTCAGGATAATTTGTGCTTAATTTCAGATCGCTACAACTCAATTCATGTAGCGTACGCAAGATCTGAGAGTGGATGAATTGAGGGTAATTGTATGCATGTGTATTGCATTCGACCCATTGCACAAAATTTTATGAGAATACATCTCTAGAAAAAGACCTTGTCAATATGGGTAAAAACTTCTGTTTTATCTAAACTATTTTACTATGTCATCTTGTCTATTATATGTTAATTTTGTACAAAATTTTATGAGAAGATTCAAGAATACAACTCTAAAAAAAGACCTTGTCAATATGGGTAACAATTCCTGTTCTATCTAAACTATTTTACTATGTCATCTTGTCTATTCTATGTTAATTTTTATTATTTAAATATGTAACATAGACAATGACTGAGCCAAGAACAAACTACTACTACAACATCATAAGGTAAGCCAATCCAAAAGCAGCAACCTGGATTGACAAAATTCCTAGGAACAAATGGACACTTGCATATGATGATGGTAGAAGATGAGGTCACCTAACAACCAACTTAGCTGAATCCATCAATTCAATCCTAAAGAAAACAAGGAATCTGTTAATCTTCTCCATAGTTATGGTCACATATACAAGATGCAACAAATTTTTCACAGAAAGAGGGAGACAAATCATAACAATGATTAATACTGGTCATATCCATTCAAAAGTTGCATCAAAGGTCTTACAAGATGCTTATACAAAATCAAACACTCATAGGGTACTTGAATTCGATAAAAGTAACACAAGATTCTTGGTGGAGGAAATCGTCAACCCAAGAGAAGTTTGACCAACTGGTAGTTTTGTTGTTAGACTAGATGAAATTTGGTGTGATTGTGGGAAGTTCTAAAAACTTCATCTACCATGTTCTCATGTAGTTGCAGCGTGCAAGCATGCTCACCATGATTACGAGATGTACATCAATCTTGTTTACGAGGTTAAATGTAGTCAACAAAGTGTATGATAATTTGTTTGGGAAACTTAGACACGAAGATTATCGATCATCATATCAAGACTCACAATTTTGCCCCAATCCAATGAATAAAAAGTTCCAAAATCATCTTAAGTCAACACAAATTAAGACCGAAATGAATATCCGCGAAGAAGGACACCTAAGGAAATTATTTTACTCAAATTATCTTATTCAAATTTCTATTTATACAAAATTTTAAGAAAATATTTATACCAAATCTATTTTATATTATATCAAAATTAAATAAAAATATTTTTAGTATGAATATTATATTTATTTACTAAACATTTTTTTATTAAATAAATACTTGTATATATATATGTATATATATAAAATATAAATATGTATTGGTTGAATGTATAAATATATTTATATTTATTATATATAAAATATAAACAAATGTTTTACATATTTATATATGTATATTTATATATTTATTTAACATATATATATATATATATATTTAATAACTTTATTTATATTTACTACAAATATTTATACATTTCCATGAAAAAAATAGAAAACTATAATTTGTATTTCCTAAAAATATTTTATAGAAAATAAATACTTCAGTATTATATATATATATATATATATATATATATATATATTATATTTAATAAAGTTTTAATCTATATAATAAAATATAAATATGTATTTAACATATTTATAAAAATATATACAAACATATTAAAATATAATAAAAATATTTATATTTTATAAAAAGAAATATTATTTGTATTTACTAAAATTATTTTATATTCGAAAATATACTTAAATAATATATATAATTTATTTATATTATTATGTATAAAGAAAGATATAAATAAATATTTGTTAAATATATAAATATACATGTATTTATTATATTTATAAAAATATAAATAAATATTTAAATATTATATATATATATATATTAAATATATTTGTATTTACTATATTTATTAAAATATATTAATAATATAATTATATAATATATTGTTGATATATAAAAAATATATTTATATGTATTTGATATAATTATATAAATAAATATTTAAAATATAGAAATATATTTATATTTATTAAATAATTTTTTATTTTTAAAATCATTAAAATATATGTCAGAATTCGTTTGCGGAGTCTGATCTTTTGTTAAAAGAGTGTTATTCGGATAAATTTTATGAATTTTGAATATTTCAATTGATATATTTGAATATTTCGATTCAAAATAATGTTATATGAGAAAATAAAATCTCTTTAATAATTATATTTATTTATTTATTTTATTCATTCTCATATTCAATTTTGAACAGAACATTTTTATATTCTCATTGATAAATATGTGAAAAATAAGAAGTGAGTTACTGATTGATATTAAATATGAAAAAATGAGTATAATTGTGATAAAGAGAAAAAGATGAACACAAGAATGATATGCAATCTAATTTTAATCGGGATTTAATCTCAATTTTCTATTATTTTTAAATCTTAATTAGTCATTATAATAGTTTTAATCAATTGAGCCTTTTTTCTTTTTAAATAAAAAAAAATCGAATCAATAAATTTTGAGCGATATTTTTATAGTTTAATAAATAAAGTCCATTTAGTATTAATTACTGATTAAAAATCAATGGTTTAAAATTATAATAAAACCAAATATACAATTAAATCTAAAATTAATTATACTTACCATCATTGATTTCTAATAAACACATTATAAATGCATTTCATCTTCTAAAATGCATCAAAATCCATCTTTCACAATCTTTTAACACTTACACAACAATTTCTGTCAACACCTTTCATTTTTACAAAACATTTAAACATGAAATTTTCGGACGAAAATAATTATCCAATTACATATTTTTCCGACTTAGTTATAATTTTTATTCTTAATATTAGTCTCTTAATTTTTATTTATCTACAACATAGGTTCTGAATTCTTTTATGTAAGTTTCTTAATTTTTAGTTATTTATAATTCTATTTATTTTTCAGTTTATAATAATTCAAAACAAATTACTACTTTAGATATGACGCAATAAAATTAATTGGAAACTCTTGAGTTATATTTAGAATTGAAAAAGTTAGCCAACCTTGATAATAGTCTGATAAATTTTAAAAACTACTAACCAAAATCCCAAATAAATGAAAATTAAAAGATTAAAATTGTGAGAAAAAAATTAAAATTAAAATATACACTTTATTAGTTTCTTTTTATTTTTTATTTTTTACAAACATTTGTAGCACATATAGAAAGCCCTAAATTTGTGATAGAAACTAGGGTTGTGCATAATAATATGGATTCATAAAATATTACTAAATTAAATCAAAGAATGTATACAATCCCTTATGTGTCCAATTGAACACACGTGAAGAGAGAGAGCACTATACATCACATGTCCACAATACATTATCTATATATCCTCTTCAACACAGATAGTTTCTTGGATTTTTTCTAATTTCCATGCTTCTCCCCCTTGTCTTCGCTTCAACATGTTATCAATCTCTCCACCACCTTCTCTTGACCCATTTTACAGAACTTTGTGGCCAAGTAATGAAGGAAAATGGTCCTTGAACAAAACAAGCTAATGTATTTTCCTAGTTAAAATAGTGAGGCCAATTAATCAAAGTTCCCAATGTTTTCGTGCCTGTTTGCACACCTCTTTTCCGAATCCTTTTCATTTCATGTTCCACATAAGATTGTATGTCTTCTTGACTTTGCAAGAATCTTGAGCATTCATAATCATATATCAAGCCCATTTCTACATGCTAACAAAAGGTCAATGGGGAGAGACTCATTCTTCAGGGTGAACCTGCCCAATCATTCCATTTTTAGCTACAGCACATCTCATCATTCAAAGCTCAAAACTTTCTCAATCTCAGACAAAAGTTCATAAACTCGGACTACCTACCTGATAGTCCTTTCCCTATTGTGGCCTGTCTTCAGAGAAGCTGTAGCTGAAGCTTCTACTGTTAGTTCGGCTCATGGTTCTGAGCTTCAATTGTCCCCTGCGAGTTATCATCTCATCCAATATCTCTGCATCATAATAATCTTCCATGTGCTTTTCATCACCGCAGTTGTTCTGAGCAAACATTTTAGAAGATGTGTTAGAAAGTTTGAATTTTAAACTATTATATATGTACAAACATAAAACTAGATTGCTTGGTTTATTATGTACCACATATGGAGCTCCAATAATTTCCTCGTACTCAACAGCATCTAGTTCTTGAAGATGATCAGGCTTGAATAGCCTTGGAAGCAAGTGCTCTCTTATAGTTATGAGCAAGAAGAAAGGTAATGGGAAAAGTATTCCTCCTATAGGTATCCATGTCACCCCATAACATATTAAAAAGTACACAATCTGTACGATTGTGAATGTAGCTATGGTATTGAATGGTACTGATTCCACAAACGAGGCATGAGGCCCTTCCAAAATTCTGCCAAAAAGAACTCACATTAGAGCAATGACAAAATTGAAAATGTAATTAGCTTCTTATACCATATGAAAATGACACTAATTGGACACAAAGTAGTGAAGAATGAAAGACCTACACATTGGCATTCTTTTTTTTGTAGACTGTGCATGTGCAATGTTAACTACATTTTGTACTCTAATGCTAGATTACCAGTTCTGCTAATATACAAAGGAGTATTTCTACCACAAAGTCAGAAAGCTTTGAAGTAAATGAAGCAATATATCAATTTCAAAACCATTATATGGACTAAAGCTTGAGTTGAGAGTGCTTTTGGTAACCATAGAGATCTAACGTTTTTGGTACAGGGCCAATAGTTGAATGAGTTTGAGAACACCAAGAAAGAGAGAGGGAGAGTGTCTTAATAACAGTACCGAAATCCTAAAATTTCCTAGGATGACATAGAATTTCTCTTAAAAGTTGTAGGGATACTTACTTGTGGCGCCGGTTTGGTGAGATGAGGAGAAGCAATATCCTTTCATAGAATTGATTCCCTGGGAGACTATCAATAGCCATGTATGCAAAATATCCCCACAGAACTGAAGTAGGTATCATTTTGATGATATAAACGGCAAATGTCAATAGGCCAACCAAGAGAGACTGCAATAAGTTACTCATTCTTTGCTCATTAACACGGACAGGTATATAGGCATCCATGTGTACATCAAAATCAAATTTCTTTTCACCATCCCTTTCAGTAGATTTCTTTACAGCCTCCTTCAAGTTCTCCAACTCTTGATTCTGGACCAAATTTAAAATGTTAATCAAACTGCTCTTGGATTTGAACAAATAGGAACACACATCAATACTATCAAGTCAGCAATACTTAACAGTTGGTTCTGTATGCATTTCTATAAACACAGCGTGCATCTTTCCATATAACTCAGTGGTGCTTCCTTGTTCCTTAATGCATTCCTTGGCAGTTTTTACCACTTTCTTTCGGATCATCTAAAAATTGATACAGTAATATTATAATATATTCTAGTTAATGTTTTCGGCTTAAGGGTCTTGAAGTAAAATGAAGATGATACTTACCTGCCTCCTTAGAACTGCCAAACTCTTTGTATGCATGGGGGACTGAGGAAGGACTCCATTTGATGGAGGAAGGCCAAGAAGGCCGCAAATCAAAGTCTATACATGAAATGGATATATATATATATGTCAGACAACTAATTAATGGAGCTTACACAATGAGATGCATTAGGTAGCAAGGTTTTGGAGAAAATAGTATATACCAGTATACCAAGAAGGAAAATATCATAGTGATAAGCAGATGGTTTTTGAAGATTATATTCCTTCTGTTGAGTCATCTTAGAAGCTACACTATGATCAAAGAAGTATAAACTTGCTATCATCACCGCTGGGATAAATGCTGCAAAGATGTAAACCGGGGGTACCTTTCCCATATCCTACACTTGGCAATCAATCATGTTAGATGTTTTCTAGTACTTGTCTGACATGAAATTGTTAAATATACTAATGTTGAAACAATTCTTATCCAAGTTCATGGTGCAAGACAGCATGATGAAATTAACAAAAGTAAGAAAGCATTGTTTTTTGTTAAGCATCCTGCACCATCAAAGGGACTCATTCTGTTTCATAAGGAGGAAAAAAAAAGGGTTAAATATTGTTTATTTCCCTCAAAATATGGTCAAAATCAGGCTAGAAATAACGATTTTGATCCTTCATTTTTTTGAGATGTGATGGATTTCGTCCGTCATGTCAAATGAAGTATTAATATGGGGACAGACATTTTTTAAATGTAGGGACTAATTCTAATTTTAGCCATGAAAGAAAGGACCTGTTCTATTTCATAAGATGATAAAAAAAAAATACATAATGTGTGTAATAATACCTTTATTACTGTCCAGTGGTAGACAGAAGCGGCTTCCCATGGAAATGGACAAACCAGCCTTCTAGGAACAGCAGATGGAATTTTACCTGGTAAAGTATAAGATAGTCCAGTCCAAAACACTACCATCACTGGAACCCCATAATCTGAAACGAAAGCTCGTAGCCACCCTGCATTGAATACCACAATGAAGATAAAAACAATGACAAAAAAATCATGTGCATGCTTCACGACTCATTTATAAAAGCTCTCTCATATAACTTCTCTAAATCTTTATTTTTAACTAGAGCATCAACTGATTTTAACTTCTGTAAAAAAAAAACACATGTTATAATTTCAGCTTATGAGAAAGTCCATTTTAGTTTTTCTTTTGTAGAACTGTTTATGGAAAAGTTGATCTAAATGCACCAAGTCTCACATGAAAAGTTTAAAACATTATGAGTGTGGTCTTATATGGTACATGTTGATATTTTGAGTCACTTGCCTGATCCATATCTCCATGCTCTTGCTCTTCTGCTCATCATGGCAGTGAGGATTATTCCAAAAGAGAAAATGACTGCAAGCAGTCCATTTGTATACCGCCACTGGAATTGATATTCTTCTAACGAAGGATTTTCATCTTTGGGTGTGCCGAACTCACCTAAGATTCCCTGAGGATCAAATGAATTTTTGGTTGGATCTTGAAGTGCAAAATTAACATTCTATTTTGCTACCAAGTATAATGTACCTTTATAGCCTCTTGGAAGAAAAGGACAGTAATCAACATGCCAAATAATTCCTCTGCAACTCTTGTGAACCTAGAGATAACTGTGCACGCGTTGAAAATTGCAAGCATAATCAGCAAGAATGATGTCCACATACAAACCCTGAAACACAATTGAACATAAAAGTTAGATGTAGATATACTACAATTCAAGAAGGATTTGAAAAATTAAGTACAATATCATATCCAGATGCTTTTATTTGTTTCATGTAAATAATGATAATTTTTAATACTTTACTGAGATGTACATGTGAAGTATTCAAGCCTATGGAAAAAATTATTAAATTCTAATATAGCTAAGACACAAATTATATATAGGATGGAAACAAAGAAATGTTATCCTCTAATGAACCAAAACATTGAACTTGTACCCTTATGGATGATCTCAATAAAGGAATGATATTGAGACTATTCCTTTTGATCACAGTATAAAAGATTAATGATGACAAATGATTTATAATTTTATACATTGTAGTGTTGTCTACTAAGTATATTTTTAATTTACATTTGCAGAATTACAACTATATATCTATCATTTATGAAACTTGATGCATAGTTAGAGATATATCTTACACATATTTAGAATATATAATCGTATAGGTTTATCATATTTGTGCATCATAGATAGATAGATACATACCAGCCAGCCCAAGGCAGAAACATCTTAGGTCCTAGGTCTGGCGTTTTTGAGCAGAACTGATAAAGAATAGTGTACATTATAACCGTTGGTTCAGCAACTCCCAAAATCAACAAAGGCTGACCACCAAATATTGAATGGATAATTCCACAAATAGCAGTTGATGCCAATGTTTCCACTGTGCTCAAGCTTCCACCTATGAAAGCATGATATGAATGCGGAGTTTTGGAACAAAAAGCATAGCATTGGCTTTTGAAACGCCATATTGTTGAAAGTTACTCAAAGAAACTCTACATTGAAGAAAAGTTTTACCTGTATCCCTGTTAAGTTGCTCTCCAAAAGCAATAACAGGAAGAGCAGAAGCGAAGAATATGTAGAAAGTAGGAGCCAGTATCCTAACATTATTCAAAGAATCACAAATCAAAATTAAGCACATATAACACTATAAAGTAAAAAGGGGCAAGAAATCTCATCAATATGCATTGCTTCCCCAAAAGGCCAAGATAAACAAGAATTACTTAAGGCCAGAACCGAATGCATTGGTCCAATCGTGTTTGTAACATGCAACCCTTCCTTTGACATCCTGTGTTATTCCTTCAAAAGGCTTCATATCTGATGTAAGAAATTAGATCATCAACTCACAAATTTCAAAAATAAAATAAATAACAATATATAATCGAAAATGGGGTTAAATTGCAAAACATCATTTTGATTCCTGCCATTAATCACCACAGATCTCATTTATCTTTCTTAAAAATTCTTTGCAAATGTTTTTTAATTTAATCTGAATAATGATTGGTAAGCATCGTGGTTTCACGATCCTCAGTATTGCAGAAAATTGTGAATGAGGAGGTAATGATATCTAATGAATGGATATTGTGATGATCTTCCATTCGTTCAGAACAAAAAATTTAATCTCTGACCACATCTTTACAGAATAAAGTTATCTATCAATCATGTAAGCATATCATGAGTTTCATTTCATAGCAGAACATTTGATTTTGAAGAAATGAAAAGAAAGAAAAGAAGACTCACGTGAAGAAGAAGCCTAGGGGGACCCTAGCCTAGGCTTCAATATGTGAAGGAAGAGTCGAGGGATTCAGAACCCAGAAGGGTCGAGGTCGTAAGAAAAAAAAGGGAAGAAAGGGTTTCCTTCCCAGGATCCAGAGTAGAGAGGGTGAAAAGTTCTCTTCTCAGGATCCAAGGTGGGGAGGGTGTGTGTCTTTCTTGGTGCTTCTCTGATACTTAGTAAGGTTGGAAGGAAGAAAAAGAGAGGGTGGTATGCATGCATGCAGAAATTAGTAATTCTTGACAAAGTAAACATGGCGTGTTTTGTGGGGGTGCAAAAACGTGTATCTATTTATAACTCCCAACGAGATTCATACTAATTTCTATAATTTGTAGTGGTGTACAGAAAATTCATTTAAATTTGATAAAAAACTATATTTGAATGCATCTTCTAGAATCAAATATTTAAATCAATAATTAACATCAATAAAAGTAGTTTAGTTGGTTAATTTTAATTAATAATATTATAAATTTAAATTCTATTTTAGAAACAAAAAAAAAAACAAATACTGAATTTGACTATATGTTGGCTGATTCTAATATCAATTATCTTATGTGCACGAACATTTTGGTTGATCACCTTCAAGTACATTAACATCTATATTACTTAAAAAAAAATTGTATCATTTGGATACAAAATATTTGCAATCATCTTCATGAATTTTTTCATATTCATACTGAAAGCTTAGCTTTTGGTTAGATGAGTCATGTAGTTAAAGAAATGATTTTGAAAATTCACTTAATGAGAATAATTATGAATATCCCAACAAAGTTTTTCCAATTAAAAGGTTTCTCTTTTATCGTTTTTAAAGCAATGATGATGATGATTGTTGCGATTCGTACACAAAAAATATTCAATATAATTTTTTAAATATTTCAAAATTTTTATTTCCTTGTCTTCCTCTTTAAGTTTGTAATTTTTTTAAATTTGCGTCTGGAAAAAAACATTGCATGTCTTTCTCTTTTCATTATTGGACATAAATTTACACTTCAAAGAAATAATATTGGTGCAACTCATATTTTTAAAATATAAAAAATAATTCTTTTACAATATGATATAAATAACATGAGACTTCTAACAATAATAATCGAAAAGTTTTTACACTGAGTTTCTTTTATTTCTATGGCTAAGAACACTTAATTGTTTTGTTCTTTTATTTTTTTAAATCTCCTTTTATAGATTATCTCACCTTTCTTTTAAAGTTTCAAGTGATAAATACAACATCCATACAATATAAGAAAAAATCGCTTTAGCGACCGAAAAAATCGGTTGCTAATGTCAAAAAATCGGTCGCTAATCAATTAGCAACCGAAATACGTCATCGCAAAAAGTCAAGTCGCTAATGTGTTAACAACCGATTTTTATTTCTGTCGCAAAATAGGGACTGATTTTATTTCGGTCGCAAAATAGCGACCGAAATTAATATATTAAATTGGTCGCTAAATCGGTGGCAAAGTTAAAAAATAGCGACCGATTTAAATCGATCGCTAAATCGATGATAAAGTTAAAAAAATAGTGACCGGTATAAATCGATCGCTAAATCAATGACAAAGTTAAAAAAATAGCGACCGATTTATATCGGTCGCTAAATCAATGACAAAGTTAATTATTTATATTGGAGGTTGAAACTTCAACCGCTAAGCTAATATGATTTATCAATAATAACTTACAAATAAATTATATTTATATACAAATAAATGTATATCCGTGTAAATATATAAATATAAAATCTATAAATACAAATATATTTATATATTTTAAGATATATTTAAATATTGATATATTGATATATTTATATATTTACATATTTATATATAAATATTTATATATTTAAATATTTAAATATTTATATATTTATATATTGATATATTGATATATTTATTTATATCTTTATACATTTATATCTTTATACATTTATATATTTATATATTTAAGAAAAAATTAAATATTTAAATATTAAATTTTAAAAATAATATTATATTTTTAAAAATAAATATTAGAAAAAAGTTTAAAAATATATATAAATTATATTTACATGTACAAAATATTAAATATGTATATTTATATATTTATATATTTATATCTTTATATTTTTACATATATTTATATTTTTACATATTTATATCTTTATATATTTATATATAAAGATATAAAGATATTAGTTTTGTATACAAATAATATTATAGTATAGTATATTATACTATTAATATAGTATACAAATTATATATTAGTATAGCATACAAATTATTAGTTTTGTAAATTATAAATATATAAATATAAAATTTATAAATACAAATATATTTATATATTTTAATATATGTTTAAATATTCATATATTTATATATTTATATATTGATATATTTATATATTAATATATTAATATATTTATATATTGACATATTTATATATCGATATATTTATATATTTATTTATATCTTTATACATTTATATCTTTATATATTTAAGAAAAAATTAAAATTAAAATATTAAATTTTAAAAATAATATTATATTTTAAAAAATAAATATTAGAAAAAGTTTTAAAAATATATATAAATTATATTAACATGTATAAAATATTAAAGATATATATATTTATATTTTTACATATTTATATATTTATATCTTTATATTTTTTATATTTATATATTGATATATTAATATATTTATAAAATAATATATTGATATACTATATATTTATATATTGATATATTATATATTGATATATTGATATATTAATATATTTATATATTTATTTATATCTTTATACATTTATATCCTTATATATTTATATTTATATATTTATATTTATATATTTATATTTATATATTTATATTTATATATTTATATTTATATATTTATATTTATATATTTATATTTATATATTTATATTTATATATTTATATTTATATATTTATATTTATATATTTATATTTATATATTTATATTTATATTTATATTTATATTTTTATATTTATATTTATATATTTATATATTTATATTTATATATTGATATATTTATATATTCACATATTTATATATTTATTTATATATTTATACATTTATATCTTTATACATTTATATATTTGTATCTTTAAGAAAAAAATTAAAAAAATAAATATTAAATTTTAAAAAGAATATTTTATTTTTAAAAATAAATATTATAAAAAGTTTTAAAAATATATATAAATTATATTAACATGTACAAAATATTAAAGATATATATTTATATTTTTACATATTTATATATTTATATCTTTATATATTTATATCTTTATATATTTATATCTTTATATATTTATATCTTTACATATATTTATATTTTCACATATTTATATATTTATATATTTATATCTTTTTATATATATATATATACATATTCATATATTAATATATTTATATATTTATATATTTTTTTATACATTTATATATTTAAAAAATTGAAAAATGAAAAATTAAATTTTAAAAATAATATTATATTTTTAAAAATAAATATTAGAAAAAGATTTTAAAATATATATAAATTATATTTACATATACAAAATATTAAAGATATATATTTATATCTTTACAAATTTATATATTTATATATTTATATATTTATATCTTTATATATTTATATATTTATATCTTTATATCTTTATTTATATCTTTATACATTTATATCTTTATATATTTAAAAAAAATTAAAATATAAATATGAAATATTAAAAATGATATTATGTTTTTAAAAATAAATATTAGAAAAAGGTTTAAAAACATGTACAAATTATATTTGTATGTCCAAAATATTAAATATATCCACATTTAAAAAAATACTAAAAAATATGAAAAATTATACTTTAAATTGATGAAAATATTTTTAAAAAAGTTATATTTATTAAAGTATTAAAAAATATTGTGTAATATATAAGTTAAAAAAATTATCATTAAAGTTTTTAAAAATTATTAGTTTTGCAATTTATACACAATAAAAATAAATTACAAATATTACAATATATTTGTATTCTAATTTTTAATTAAACTAAAATTATGCTAATAATATATAATAATATACGAGGAGATAATATATATATATATATATATATATATATATATATATATTTATTTATATATTTATATATTGATATATTTATATACTTGATATATTTATATATTTATTTATATCCTTATACATTTATATCTTTATATTTTTATATATTTAAAAAAAATTAAAAATTTAAATATTAAATTTTAAAAATAATATTATATTTTTAAAAATAAAAATTAGAAAAAAATTTAAAAATATATATAAATTAAATTTACATGTAAAAAATATTAAAGATATATATATATATATATATATATATTTATATTTTTACATATTTATATCTTTATATCTTTATATATTTATATATTTATAAAATTTATAAATACAAATATATTTATATATTTTAATATATATTTAAATATATATATATATATATATATATATATATTTATATTTACATATTTATATACTTATATATTTATATATTGGTATATTTATATATTAATATATTTATATATTGGTATATTTATATATTAATATATTATATATTAATATATTGGTATATTTATATATTTATATATTTATTTATATCTTTATACATTTATATTTATATCTTTATATATTTAAGAAAAAATTAAAAAATTAAATATTAAATTTTAAAATAATATTTTATTTTTAAAAACAAATATTGTTAGACAAATGACCTCTAGAGGGGTGAATAGATGCACAAATTAAAATAGATATTAAATTAAAAATTTATTTGTGAGTCAATAATTTGTTTGAACACAGATAAAGCGGAAACGATATAATCAGGAAAAGAGAAAGAGATAAGGGAAAGAGAAGAGCACACAGTGATTTATATTGGTTCGGGTATAGCCAACCCTACATCCAGTTCCTAGTCAACTCTTAACACAAGAGTGACTCCCAATTCACTATCTTTCAAATTCAGTTTACAAGTTACAATCAACTCAGCAGAAGAATCAGTAAAAAGTAAACTAATTAAAAAGACAATCACTTCATTAGAAACCCACTAAGGATGAACACCTCCCTAGAATCCCACTAGGGATGAACACCTCCTCTGAACAAATCAAAGGATGAAAAAACACCTCCTTAGAATCCCACTAAGGATGAACACCTCCCTAGAATCACACTAGAGATGAAAACCTCCTTTGAACAAATCAAATGATGAAAACACCTCCTTTGCAACCAATACTAAAGGATGAAGGT